ATTTATCTATATAGTTTATTAATGCATCTATAACTGTTTATATATTTATTTGTACTTTTATTATGTGTTATAACCATTTATATCTAAAACAGTTTATACATTTACTTCCACATTTATGACAATTTATACATTCATCTAAACAATCCCCTAAAAAATCACCTAAACATTAACCTAAACATCTAAACATTCACCTAAACATTTAAACATTCACCTAAACATTCATCTAAACAAACAGTCGCCTAAACATTCATCTAAACATCTAAAAATTCACCTAAACATCTAAACATTCCCCTAAACATTCATCTAAACAATAAAACATCATCTAAACATCTAAATTCTAACATCTAAACATTCCCCTAAACATTCTAAGTATAAGAAAGTATAAAAAATACGGTTTCTGTCCCAGGTCCCTTCACCATCTTGGCCCCGACTGAGGAGGCCTTCGCTGCCCTCGACCCGACCTTGAGGAACTTTCTCCTGTCGGACGTCGAGGCGCTGACGACCACCCTCCTGTACCATGTCGTCCTCGGCAGCGTCGTCGGGTCCGATCTCGAGGACGACCTTGAGTTGTGGTCCGCGGCGGGGTCGGTTCTCAAGGTCAACGTCGATGGTTCGAGTCCCAGGGTAAGGGTAAGGGGAAGGGAAGGGAAGAGGTTTGTGTTTGTGGGTGTGTCTGTATCTGTCTGTTTGTGTCTGTCTGTTTGTCTGTCTGTCTCTGTATATCTGTGTCTGTTTGTCTGTCTTTTCTATCTGTATCTCTCTCTCTATTTCTCTCCCTCTCCCTCTCTCTTTCTTTATATGTGTGTGTGTGTGTCTTTCTTTCCTTCCTTCTCTCTCTCTCTCTCTCTCTCTCTCTCTCTCTCTCTCTCTCTCTCTCTTCTCTCTCTCTCTCTCCTCTCTCTCTCTCTCTCTCTCTCTCTCTCTCTCTCTCTCTCTCTCTCTCTCTCTCTCTCTCTCTCTCTCTCTCTTCTCTCTCTCTCTCTCTCTCTCTCTCTTTCCGTGTGTGTGTGCATGTGTGTGCTTTTGCGTTTTCGTGTGTGTGTTTGCGCGTGCGTGTGCGTGCGTGGTGAGTGCATGTCTTGAAAGGCTTGCGAGCATGTCCTACATTCATGGCACGCTAATGTAAGCTCCCATTCTCTAATACTCTCTACTCACACCATACCACCGATACCTAAATTATTACATAACACTGTAACCTCCACAATCTACTCGCTTTATCACATTTTACAACACTAAGCAAGCACCGAATCCCTCACTATCAATGATTGAAATCACTTACAGGCAAAACATCCTAGCTCTCTCCACAGCCTCACTTATCTTACCTTATTTGGCTCTCTTGCCTTCCGTTCTTACCTTCCACGTTCCTTTTCCAGTGGGTAGATTCGTCCTCAATCAGTTCTAGACTTCCCATAGGTCGATTTTCTCACGTAGATCTTCTTCATTGGTAAAAGTTGAGATCAGAAGGAGGTGGGAGGGGAAGGGGAGAAGCTACCGCCATGCCAGACGTCAAAGTCAGAGTCAAAGTCAAAACATATTGATTACAATGGTTATTCTTTATCAATCCCCTCTCCAGCGTATTCAAGTACTTGTATATTCCTATTTTTCATCTTTCATCTTCAGCCTCACTTCTTCATATCTCGTTAAAGTGATTCTTGATGTAGAAATTTGTATAATGTGAATAAAAGAAGGGTATTATTCACCGTCCAGAGCCACAACACAATGGTATGGTATGGTAATGGTATTCAGTGACAAGGTGTATGTGTATAAATACGGGAGGATTATAGTCATGTGTGTGTAACAATTTGGATAGCGTTTGACATGTAGGTACATGGTATTAGAGTTTACATCGCTGTATTATTAATGGCACGAATCTTCCGTGTGTGACTATATACTGACATATATTTGAATACGTGCAAGGTAAATATACTAGCCTTTGATTTTTTACTTTATTACATATTCCTTTATTTACATCTAAGGGAAGCAAGACTTAACAAGGATTCAATACCGTTCTCCCACAAAAATTTCCCGAAGGAGGTGTCGATCAACGGCGTGCGGGTGCAGAGGACGGACCTCCTGGCGAGCAACGGCGTGGTCCACGTCCTTGAGAAGGTCCTCCTGCCGCCGAAGCTGTCCATCGTCGAAGCCCTCGCCGGAGACGGACGCTTCTCGACGCTCGTGGCCGCCATCAGCCTCGCCGACTTGTTCGAAACGCTCGACTCAGGTCCGAAGTTCCGAACACCTAGTGAGGGAGAGAGAGAGAGAGAGAGAGAGAGAGAGAGAGAGAGAGAGAGAGAGAGAGAGAGAGAGAGAGAGAGAGAGAGAGAGAGAGAGAGAGAGAGAGAGGAGAGAGAGAGAGAGAGAGAGAGAGAGAGAAGAGAGAGAGAGAAGAGAGAGAGAAAGAGAGAGAGAGAGAAAGAGAGAGAGAGAGAGAGAAGAAAGAAGAGAGAGAGAGAGAGTTTTCTTTATTTGGGTTTTGTTTTTGTTATTGTGCGCGTGTGCG